GAAATTTTCGATTATGATTTGTTTTTTATAAACTTTACTAATGTCGATAAAAAAATTTTCACTCCGTCAAAAAACTTGTAAATGTAATACAAGGTTCCTCGTAAGTTGTTGTTAGTGAATATTTAAAAAAAAGTTGAGCATAAATCCACAATAATTGTTTATGGTCGTTTGACGTTTAAATTTTTACAACATTGGTTATTCCTCGTCTTCTCATGTTGCAGCGATTTTCTTATTATTTTTTTTGTCATTCAAAAACGAATGACTGTAGACACTTTAAATTTACATCATATGTTTATTTTATCAATTCATATACTTGATACAATTTTCAAAATCTTTTGACTCGTTTTGAGCTGCTGTAATATTTATTCAACTTACCGGCTACTGTATTAATAGTAAGTCATAAAAAATAAAATGTCCTAGACTGACATACTGTCTCTGCTCAGAATCGTTTTTCGTATACAATGGTAGTATACCTATCAGTGAATTTAAATTTAATACAATTCATTACAACGACCTTCTAGACACCTAATGTACAGCAGAGTGACATCCACTTCACCTCTTTTTTTACGATTTATTTACACCTAAAACTGTAGAATATATAAAACTATTTTGTCACACTAGACCAGAAAAAAAAATGCTACGATTAAAAGTTTAGTAGACATTTGAGTACTGATTTTGCATAAAATATAGTCGATATTATGTAATTAATTATTATAACATGAACATCATATTTTCAAAATTATACTTATAACTCGATATTTTATATTTTTGAATCGAGTTGTTATACCAGCCCCTAGCTCCAACCAATACATTAAAACACTTGCTTTAAGAGATTTTAATCGGTGAAAATTACTAGGATGAGTTAGATTGAATTTCCTAATTTTTCAACAATTTGAAATTAATCTAAAGGGAACGACGATAAGATGACCTATTTATGTAAGTATACCAACTATATATATATAATTTCCAATCGATTAATAGGGTCACATAAAACTTTGGGAGCACTATAGTTATTTCTAGAAAACTAAAAAAAAAAAACTAAAAAACCATAGACATATTGTAAAACCTTAACATTTCTGCTTCTTACCTTACACTAAAACAAAAAATCGTTTTAAAACATTTATGTATAGGAAAAATATGCAAAACAGTATTGTAACCATTTACAGATTTTTGAAATAGAGGGTATGTCGTGGAAATTGAAATTTTTTAAAATTCTTAACTCTAAAATTATCTGTAGGTACATTTTGAATGACATGAATTTTGTCAAAATTTGAACTTTAAATGCTTATAAAAAAAATCGTGACCATGTACTTTTAATATTTTTAACCGATATTGTAAATATATGTCAGCCTTGTATTCAATTTTTAAGCTTTTTGACCCAACAAATACAATTTTAGAAAAAAAACTAAAAAAATTGAAAATTGAAAATTTCCGTTTACAGCTCAAAGCTAGTCAAAATATTTTGAAAATGTTGTCAATTATATAAATTGGTAATATAAACATATAGTGGAAATTTCAAGTATATGAAGTTATTCGTTTTTGAATAACAACAAAATAAGAAAATCCGTACATGAGAAATCGAGTGAATATCCAATGTTCTAAAAATTTCAACTTCAAACTTTCATAAAAATTTTTTTTTGTAGGAATCTTGTATTACATTTTTAAATCTTTGATATAAAAAGAATATTTTTTATGAATTTCTAACTCAGAATAATAATTAGCATATTTTCGGGATTCCTAAGAATTGTGTCCAAATTCCAAATTCTAACGTTTATAAAAAAATATTGTGGATTTACCTCAACTTTTTTTTTAATTTCCACTTACTACAATTTAAGAGAAACCTTATTATATTTTCCTGTATTTTGATAAAGTGAAAATATTTTTATCGACATATGTTTAAAAAAAACCAATAACAATCGAAAATTTGATATGCCTAAAGATAAATACTTCAACATGAGGCAAAAGATTTTTCGTGATCATAAAAATAATATCAAATATTATTGAAATACATTTAAAAAAAAATAAAATATAAAAGAAACTTTTTCTAAAAAAAAATTGATATTACTCTTGGCCTATTAGTATAACCATTTACATAAATATTGGTAATCATAGAAAGAAAATTCGTCAAGTGGATACCAGAGCTCTGTTGTACATTTTTAGATGTTTGGAGAAGTATAACTAATATGGATGTGTTAAATTTTAATAAAATTATTTAAAATCATTGTATATTTGCGATTCTGAATGAAGACGGTCAAGCCAATAATAATGTTGTCAGCCAACAATATTACCAACTATATTTTATATCATTGTTATTGATGTAATTTATTTTACTATGAGGCATATCACAGTAGGTAGGTTAAATTAATTTTTGCCGAAAAAATTGCATTTAAAAATGTCACTGTGTGTATAAAATGATAGTATATTTTAAACTTTCAAATAAGGTTTCTAACCCATACTTGCCTTTAATCAATATTTTATTACTTTCTTAACAATTAATTATGTTCATTTTTCATAATTATAATGTAATTTAATATCTATTAATTAATATTGTGGTGTATATTTATTTCTTAATTCGTTCTCTAAATTGTTAAGCTTTATAATAGTATTTTACTAGAAGCTAAAACAAAAATAAAAAAAGTTTCAACTACAGATAAATATAATATTTTTTAAATTATAACAAAATAACTAAAATCTTTTTTCTTCGTTTAAATATCCAATTTCGTCCAAATTTTAACTTAAAATGTCTTTTATATATATAAACTGTGTTGTGCCTATATATTTTTAAAATGTTTGATTCCCGACTTCTTACGCAGAATGCCAGGACCGTGTTATAAATGTACAACCTTTAGCTAACCTAATATCTAATACATTTTTAACTACTAATAATTTACAAATTTTCAATTTACAATTTGACAAACTTATGGGGAATCTTGTATTAAATTTTCAAATCTTAGATATAAAAAAATTTTGTATGAATTTCTAACCCAGAATAATTTGCAAATTTTCGTAATTTTGAATGATAAAACTATAACTGGGTATGGGTAATTTTTTTTTTTGTTTTTAACGTGTTAGTTTAAATTATTTTATTCATTGAATTGAACTTATGAAGTTAGGTAGTTATAATGTATTAAAATCAACTAGTCATGTTACAAAGTTACTTTAAAAGTAAATTTCTAACTTAACTTTAACTTTCTAACTAGTTGGTTCCCAGCTTTGATTAGTAGACATCTAACAATATAATATGCAGTAGGAGTGGCAATAGTTTGCGTACATTTGGTATAATTATAACTTATTTGTGAACATTTTTACAACTTGTTTGCACACAGATTATACACATATTATTATACATTTTAATTATTGAAATGCCTATGGAAGGTTTCAGATCCGTTAGTTGTTCTTGTTTGTTCGTAATTTGGTTTTCCTGCCAACGGCGATGGGTTGAAGTTTGAATTAGGTAAAATATTATACGATGCAAAAACATTATCAGAGAAGTCGGTAGCGATAAATATTGCAGTACGTGACTGTGATATAGATGCTCTAATAAGTGTCAATCAATTTCAATATCATTACTATGATATAGATGCTCTCAATTTTTTTACAAAAATGTTATTGAAACGGATTGACGCTTACATTTACATAAATCATTTTAATAGTTTTAAACATTTATAACAATAAAAGTTGTAATTTTTTAAATTTAATTTCCCCCAAGTTAGACATGTTATTTATTGAAACAAATATTAATATTATTTTTTGCATTGTGTATGTTCTTACTCGGTCGTAGGTATTAAAAGAAGAAACGACTTATCGCGTTAAAATGTCATAATTTTTAATCTGAGACCTACCCTAACCTCACTATTTTGAATGAGGGTTTTATTGATGTGAAACATTTTATATGGTTACCAATGGTATTTTTTCATTCAGCGCAAAATTCTGAAATATCGCCACAGGGAGATAATCCATCAAGTGGAACAAAAGTTATTCAATTGAAAAATGTTTTCTCTACTATAATTCTGTTTTTGGCACACATGGCAAAACGAAAAATTATTTAAGAAATTTACCTAGGAATTATTATTTTTATACTCACGTTAAAATGAACTAATACTTCATATTTGATTAAACCGTGATTGAATTAAAATATTTATTATATACAATTTTATACTTAATGAAAAACATTTAAAATTGAATTTTGAGCATATTTTTCAGTTTACACGAATTTCATTAATAATAAATTGCCGCAGATTGAGAAAACATGAGTACTTACATATATTTTTTAGTGTTTCCCACATACTTACCTACTTGTGTAGTACGTCGACGTATGTTTCTAAAAACAAAATACTATGGAGCGTAAAAATATTTCTTATAAATATGAATGTTATATACAACTGAGTATATAATTTTGGGTAATGCCTAGGGAAATTACAATAATATGTAGGTACCTACCAATGTACAATAATCGCATAGTAAATTATTTTGCAAACTAAAGTGGTTGATTGATAATATTGTATACCTGATATTTTGAGCGCAATCTGATGATTTCTTATATATAATAAATTAAGAAGATGTCAGCGCATTGTTTGTTTTCTCTCTCGGGCTCAAGCGCAGCATAGACAAAACGCAATTTACATAAAATATTTTTTTTATGTTTTTGAATAGTCTCGTTGAAAACTATCCATTACAAAATCGATAGGGAATAATGATTTGGGGAAATGACGTTTCGGTTCGTCTAAATATTGTATCAAAACTATTTAAACATCATTTCAATTTATAATTTTTTTTTTTTTGAAAGTTGAATAGTTTTAACTCAGTGAAATGGTAATAAAATATAAAACTGATATGTCATATTCTCATAAACATTATCCTCTACAGTTTTTGTTATATGCCCTGATGAATTTACTCTATAAGGTTACTCGAAAATCATAAAAAAACGATTTTAGTTGAAAGCGTTTTATCTATGCTGCTCGTGATTCTGATGGAGAAAACAAATATTGCGCCGACATCCTCTTATTAATAGGTAGCTATAGTACGTGCTTTGTGCTCAAACGACTTTTGGAATGGGAAATTGTAATTATGCAACATAGTATTAATTTATTATGATATTATTATTGCGAAACAGCGTCGGCTCGTGAACCATTCAGAAATCTCGAGCAAAATGCTACGGACGTTGGCGGTTTTGGCTTTCGTCTGTCTGTCCATAGTTCTCGCGAACCACACGATTTCGGATGATCGTCGAAATGTCTCTCATATCGACGAGGACGACAATATATCGTCTTCAGCCCCACGACTCGACAGCGGCGACGGAGTTCTGGTGCATACCGCGGACCGTTTGCCCGACCAATGGGTGGCCGACTTGTTTTATCGAGCGTTGACGAACTTTAGGGTACAGAACGGCGTCGGTTCGTCGGCCTGTCAAAAGCAGACTCGAATGTACGTCGGTCATTTGAAAAACAACTCGTACTGGGCAGTGAAAAGTAAGTTACCCAAATCTATATAATATCATATAACATCATAAAAGGGCGGGCTAGGGACTCGGGACTTGAAATAATAATACATTTGTGCATAAAAAGTTCTTTTTAAAAACGGCTAAGCTGCAATGCATAGTCATAGCCAGTAGTTCTCAAACTGTTTTGTTCAGAGTCACAATGTTGCGAAAAAAAGTTTACGGATCCCCAAACATTAGTGATGCTAATCGTTAAACTACAACTCATAACAAATTATAGATATTTTGGTTTTTAATTGTTTTTTTCATAACTCTTACTAAGCACAATATTTTTAAGTTATTTAGCAAAAAATATAATTATTGATTATTTTATTCACTTATACACTTGAATGTGTAAAATTATGTTCTCTTTACATTTTTTATCATTTACCTGTTTACCGACATTCAGTGTATAATATTTATGTCCTATAGCCTTCTATAACATATACGTATCATAATTTTCCACCACAGTAAATTTCTGTTTTTAAACCTTGGCAATTCCTTGTTATACGAATTGATAAATTGTATTATAGGTAGAGTACTTAGGTAATATTTTCACTATTAGTGCTATTACTCCAAAAAGACAGGGTTTTTTTTAAATTTATTATTTTATCAACATAATAGCTTACACTTGTAAAACTATTAACTTAGGTAAAATAGGGCAACATAACAACACAACATTGGCGTACCATGGTCAAGGTGTATATTTTAGTGAATTATGGTACGTACTTGTTTATCATGGTAACAGTGGTTAGTGGATATTTAAAAATATAATAGTGATTTACGTAATAAGATTAATAATATGTTGTCACTGCAACATATTATTAAGTAGTTACATAATGCGATGATCGTCAATGAACTGTTTAGCTATAGGTACTTAGTATTAATTATACTGCAGTGTGTAAGAAAGAAAACCTCAAAACATTTTTTTTAGAAAGAACTAAATAAATTGGTCGATCTATCTTCAAGTTGGTAATTTCATGAAAAGATTTTCCAAGTTATTCCTTAAAATTAAAAAATATAATGCAATATAATTTATTTTAACGAAATCTTGATAACTTATACGCTATAAGTGATATCTGAGTTCATCCGATCTAAATCATGTTTTACACCTGAATCTTGCAGACATTGTTTTCTTATTAAGTTATTATCTAGGTATTATGCTTCATATACATTTTTGATTTATTCGATGCCTGCAATTTGCCTAAGAGGTCAAACATAAAAACGAGAAATATCATTAGTCTTTGCCGAAACAGAATACTGTGTCCATTTAAACGTTAAAATAATAAATGATGCGACTTATTTTTCGAAATGGGGTTACTGGTTTACTATGCTTTTTTTTAGTGTACGATTCTTGGAGTCGATATCCTAACGGCATACTTTCGGGTAGAACGCATCAAATGGGCGTATACAGTGAATGTATTGACGTTCATCTGCCTGTTCAAGGACAGTACTGCATGACAAGCACAAAGCTCAAGACGGCCGACGGTACGAAACCGGTAGACTTGCAAAAAAAGGATGAAATGGAAAGTTATGATCACGCTTGGTACGAGATACTTGGGGTAAACCGAAACCGCGAGTCAATAATATATAACTACACGCACGAGCACTTATAAAAATTCAAAGTGGGGGGGGAGGGGGGTTGGCGAATTTACTACTATGACTCAAAATATGCAAACAAATTGTTATCATTCTCTTTCCGATGACTATCCGAAAGCATATGGGTACTTGGTTTTTATTTTTGTTATGGTGTCTCAAAACTTGTACAATATTTACAAACCCCTGTTGTAAGTATAAGTTTATGATCATCTCTTATTACATACTAAGTTTTCGACTGACATCTTACCCCTAACCGCCATGTAATAACCTTTTGGTGAATGTCAACAAAAAAAAAAAGAAGATATTGTGTTTTTTTTTACAATTGTTCAATATTATATAGCTATGTAATCAGTGTGCAGATTCAAAGATTAATCAAGGAGGAGGGCTAATTAAAATGTACCCAATACCGAACCAAATGAAATAAGATTTAATATAGTACGCTCAAGTCACTCGGCGGGGAGGGGTATTCACCCCATCCCATCCTACCATTTGATCACTGTGTACAATAATTAATATGTCATCATAAGTCATAACTTGGTATAATAATAATCGTTAAGAGGACGTCACACCCTCTTGTGTTGTCTTCGTCTTACACTCGTACGACATGTCGACATACAACATTTTCTCAGCTTCAATAGTGTGCTGTTAGCTTCGGTATTATGGTGAACTGAACTTTTATAAAATTTAAAGTTAAGATTATTATCTATTACTCCACTTAGCCTTTTATTAATATTATTTTAGAGTAAGTTATGACCTTATTGAAACTGTATATTTTACAATGATCATAAATTCATAACTTCCTTAAAAATAACAATATCAATAAAAGGGCTACATTTGGTCCTAGTTAATAACGTTACCTTTAAATTGTATGATAAAACAATTAACTCTAATATCAAAACTAACGGGAACTGATGAACGAAAATTCGTAAGATGGGGACAACACATGATATGGTTACAATTCGTTACACGTTCGCTATAAATTACAGCGATAGCTGACCAAGATACGTTTTTCATAACATAATTATAGTTCATTGACTACGAAGACCGATACCGGAGAAATGAAGTGAAAATAGGCATATGCATACCCGATTCTTGTACCGCTGCGGATCTTGAAACATCGTTACAGAAAGAGCTCGACATCGTATTTTTGCCTCACCGTGTACAACCCAAAGTCAAAGTCGACCCCATGCTGTGTTCCACGGACAAGAATATGTACCCGTACGATACCGGATATCATGTCACCAGGTCTGTTGTAGGTTATAGTACTACTAAAATACATATTAAGTAACGTGAAAACTTGCGAACGATTTCAATTTAATTTTAAATTGTGTACCTATTGTAATTTTTTACCTAAATTTACTATGGAGAACGTGGAGTCAAACAATTACTATATTTATCATCATTGAATTATAATACAATTAATCTGATGTCAGTGTATGAATTTTTGTACATCCACTCATCGCCTAGAATTTTAAAGAATCGTCTAAAAAGAAAGTCAATAGATAAGATTAAAAAAATGTGTTTAATGCTCGACATATTTTCTTTTTTTGCGAAATATCCATTTTTTTTAAAGGACATACCTAGTCTTATTTTTATGATTTTATTAAATTTGCCAATACGAAGACAGTTAATAAACCTCATAAAAATCTTTTTTCAGTGTCTTAATGTACTTGTCGCTGATAATCTGTTGCATGTCTACATTAATCCACATTATAGTGCTGACTATAAAGAATCAAAAAACAAGTGAGTAATTATAAATCTGATATTATTTATTTTATTGTAAATTGTTTGCGGTTTTTTTTATATATTTATTATAATATGAATATAAAACCATACTGTTTCTATGAAAAACGCACAATATGTAGGTATTTATTTGTATTTGTCTGAATATTCAATGAGAACTATTTTTTAAGATTAAGTTAATACAAATTAAATGCAAAAAGCTAAGTTAATTAAGTAAATATATTATCCTAACGTTTACTTTTTGACTCACGCCCAGCCTTGCTTTTAAAGTTTTGTGATATTTTACGTCGTTTTCGTGTCTTTTCAGATGATATCTTACCAAAGTACGTATTTTGGTTCTCGATTATTCATAACGGCAGGAACTTAATCAAACACGACAAAAACAACGACCTGAATGTTTTTAATGGTTTCAAAGCAGTGACGACAGTGTTGGTACTATTCTGCCATAAATTCATATTCCATTCAACGAGTCCCATATTGTACGCGATGAACAATGAGATGGTAATTTGCAGTGTTGTGTTCCAAAATGCTTGATAGACTTCTTATAGGTGCAGGTGGTGGTAGGTAGCAACGCCGAGTATCGTACATTTGAAGAGGATGTCAGCTCAATATTTGTTTTTTCTGTCAGACCCACGCAATATAAATCAAACGAGTTTACTTGAACATTTTTGTTGTTGTGATTTTTGAGTAATCTCAGAGTAAAATAATTATTAATTAACTTTAAAAAAAAAAATAATAAATAATGTTGTAAATTGAAATGGATATTAGACTGTTTTTAGGTAATATTTAGACAAATCAATATGACATACCTTCAAAAATATTATTTTCAATCATTTTTTTAATAAGTTATTTTACTCTAAGTCTTACAATCTACGATAACGCAAAAACGTAAAAAAAACATTTGATTGAATACGTTTTGTCTATGATACTTGTGGGTGGACTATATAGAGAAAGAACAAGCATTGCGCTGACATCCTCTTGTTACTAAATCGAAATCTATTTTAGTAGACGTACCAGCAGCATGTACCTACTTTATTTCACTTCATTATTAAACTGTTTGTACAACGCCCCAAAAGTCTCGACAAACATTTTGCGGTTGAAATTAAATTAAATGATATACAATTATATAACATATAACATCAATGGTAATAATAATATATACCCGAGGTTTCATCCAGACTTAAAAATTAAATTATTTTCTGCCATGTCACGGCATAGGTCTACAAAATAGGACCAGACATTTTACTGACGAGCATGAATATAGTGGACCTTTTTTTCTACATGACTGGTTATCTCATGTACGTTTTGATCAAGCCACAGCTCATTAAACATGGAACCGGTTGGATCCAAATACCGATGATAATATTTTACAAGTACTTGAGGTAAAACAAATAATATTAATATAATAATGATAATTTAATCATGATAAAAAGTAGAATACGTCATTACTGAAGTGTAGTCGTTTCATAAGACGGTTAGCGATGACATCGTCATGACCTACGGCTTTTATTCCTTGCTCAATTTTATTATTTATTATATTTCTCAGGGTTCTACCAGCCTATGTAGCGATGATGCTATTGACGACGTATTTCATACCGTATATGTACAACGGCCCATTTTGGGCGTCTAAAATGTGGCCTGAGGCCCAGAAATGTAAAAACTACTGGTGGGCAAATGTGTTGGCAATCAGTAACTTCATAGAAGTCGACGACCAGGTAAGCGGTATCATACCTAGCATAAGATATTATTAGAAATATTATAATATCATGCAGTGCGGTGCTGCAGAACTCTGCACTCCCCAGTCCATTATTGGCGCACTTCCGGATCATAATTTGATCTTGTTTGTCCACCGACACATGAACAGACACCAGGGCATAGACGAGTTAAAGGTTAAAATTTAGTTAGATTTGCACTATCCAAAATCTGTCCCAACTTTTTTTTCAATTCAGAACGTTATTCCTTAATCCTAGAGCCTATTTTGAACCCGGTTACAAATTATAATTAAACATAATAATTAATCACCGTTCTGGTGCTGTTTAAAAAAAAATGTTGCCTGTTAGCTCAGTCAGATTATGGTCCTATATTATAATTGTTGGTACTGTCTCTGAATTTACAAATCGTGCAGAGATCTGTCATGAAATGCATACAATTATTACTTACACCAATAAGAAAACTAAATATTTTGTTAGGTGAATGTCAAGGGGAGGATTTTAAATGGGTTTGATGAAGGAAATTTTAACAAAATGTTATTAGAAGAAATTTGAATCTACATAATTACTATATCAAAGCAATTTGTAGAAGAGGTCTTTAATTTAATTTATTTCATCATCAAATAATATTTTACGGTAATTATACACATAATAAAAAAAAAATTACTTGATACCCCTTAAATAAGGATAGCTTGTGTTTGGAATAGGTGAGTTATTTTAATTCAGTATTTTACTGAGATTATATTACACAATTATGTATTACAAACTTTTCTAAAATATATAACATTATAAAAGTAATATAAATTTATATAACGATTAATATTGTTAATTAATACATTGAACATTACACTAGGTATGTAGGGATTAAATATTATGAAAACTTAAATTGTTAGTATAATCAATTAACATTTTCTTATTTTTAAATTTGTTTAAAACAATGTTTAATTTTCCACATCGATGAATATTGTATTCATTTTTCCAAATTGTTTGTTGAATTTTAAAACATTTAAACTACTGAGATTCTTCAAACGAGTATTATATTCATGGCGTGTGGTAAAAATAAACTAACATTTACTTTTAACGTATTATTATATACTATTACTAATTTAAAAAAAAAATACATTTCAGCTTCATCCATAGAAACTGTACTGGCAGATGAGTCTCAACACCTGAAGTTATTTTTTATTTTTTTTTATCTTTCAGTGTCTCATAGTCGGATGGTACATTTCTTGTTTGCTACAGTTCATCGTCATTGGCACCATACTCATTAGCGTTTGTGCGAAGTACCGAAAAATCGGCTTGGGCGCTGTAATCATATGTCTGTGCATATCGTTAGCCATACCATTTATTTCGACTTACGTCACTCGATCATACGGTATAGTCAGAGTGTTGATACCGTGAGTAACAGAAAATATAATATTATATGAAACGTACCTACATAAACGATCGGTTATTTTGAAAAATTATTATTGTTCAAAATCAATCATACAGACGTTTAAACCCGCTGTCGTCAATAAATAATAATATTACCGTATTGATATTCGTATAGGTTTCTGGAAAACCCAAGCTCTTCCTATGAGTTCCGGAACTTTTACAGGCCTTTCTACATGAGAGGCATTCCTTTTTACGCTGGACTGCTGGCAGGCAGTATAGTCGAAGAATTGAAGAAAAAGGGAATCAGACCATCAAAAGTAATATTTTATGAAATAAAGTAGGAGCGGAAAGTTACTTATCACCCTTTGTGTTGCGAACATTTTTTGGGCCAAGTGCCAAATTAATATTGTAATCAAAGTTCAAAAAAAATTCACGAGCCAGTTAAATTATATGCTCATATCTATAAACATTGTTTTTGGGCTAATCAATGAAGGATTAGGAGGGTACTAAGAGGGTACCTGTTTAAGAACATTTTGTTATTATCCCCAGAATATATAATTAGTAATATATCTATTTGTCAACTGCATAGTATAGACCTCATAATCATAAATTTTCTTATCCAGCACTCACATCATTATTTTATTAATGGGATTTTTGTTTACTCACTATCGACAATCTTTAATATCATGTGTTGATCTATTTTCAATTTTATAAGTTGTAACACAAGTCAGTGAATTAATGATATAAGTAAGTACACGGTATGTACTATAGGTACACTGTTTACTATTTACACTAGCATTGAAAGTATGGAATGACCAATTTTTTCCAGTACAAATTATTATGTCTGTAATCGAGTTACACACTTCCAACATGTTATAATTAGTTGCTAATTGGGAAATAAATATGTATATATATATATACATTATTTAGAAATAATACATTTTTTTTTCTTTGTAATGTTTAGGTACACTTTTAACGTTTGACATGCTAAGGTTTCAATGTTGAAAATAAGACTTTTATACATTTTGTTTTGTACCTTTTTCCCTCCAAAATCATCAAACTCCGTTAATCCTAAAACTAACGGAATAAAAAATAAAGAAAAAATTAATAAACGTACATTTCACAAAATATCATATTTTTTTTTATCTCTTTGAGACTTAGGTAATCATAATTTGGGATTAAAATTAGAGATCATTTTAGACATTTTAAATTTTAATTTGGTGTAAAGTAAAAGAAAAAATTAACTGATACCTTGTATTTTCCCATCTTTAATCAACGTATGATTTATTTTCATCTTTTTACTTATAAGAATACAATCTTTCGAGACAACGAGACTAGCAGTAATCGTCAAACATAATATTATGACTCTGAAAGTTAAAGATTATAATGATTACAACAATAATTTAGAAGTTTACAACGATAAATATACATTTAATTAATTTGTCAATACCGAAGATTTTAGATTATTTATGTTGTGTGCATTATAGTGATGTTATATTTACCGCTATGAATAAATACAACTTATAACTAGTGAAACTACACTAGACTTAATTTTTATTAATTATTGTAAAATATATTTAGTAAAATAATCATTTGGTATATAATATATATTATATATATTATAGTTGTGAATAAAATCAATAAATGGTATATTTGTTGAAATCGATCAATGAATTTTAAATCGAAGATTATAATAATTATAATATAATATCATACTCTAATCATTGATTGATTACAGTCGTTTTGATGCACATGCTGTGGGGCACGTGAACATATTATTATATCGATTTACGCATTTTTGTTTTAGCGCGTTGTTTACGTTTGGACATTTATCATAACTACCGTGTGCATTTTGGTCCAATTATACGGTTCGGTGTTTTATGTGAGACACAGACCCTACAATGTCATTGAACAAGCTACGTATGCCGTTCTTAAACATTGCACGTGGACGGTTATACTATTTTGGATCACGATTTGTAACTTTACATCGGGTTATGGTAGGTGTACTTCAGTATTAATTCGCATTGTACTTCCGCATAGACGCAGTTTGTCAGTGCGTTCAACATAAGGTTGGTATAATTTTATAATGCGCAAAGGTCAACGTGTCTTGGTTGTGATTTATTTATTTGTTTCATGTATTTATTTATTGTATGGCTATTAAATATTGCAAACATTAAAAACACATCATCAATACAAAACAAATAAAAATAAATGTTAATACAAATATAAATACGTATAACAAGTCATATAACTCATAAAATATAGTAAACATAATATATAATAAAACAAAATGGAATAAGTCACCACAATTTAATTTCTCATTTGGTTATCCAATCTATGGATCTCTCTGGTAGGTCCATGCTTCCTTAGAATTTCCTTATCGGGCAATCGTTGATAATGTGTTCGATTGTTTGCTGATTCTGCTGTCCTTCAGACGCCATCATGTCCTCATATACCAACCTGTTCTTAACCTGTTAAGAGTTACCCAATCCTGGCGTAGAAGAAAAAACCTGCTAACGGAATCCTGGAATTAGAGATAAGTTCACTATTTCTCAGAGTCACGTTTTTCTACTAATTACACCAGTCGGTGCTCTAAAATCGGAATTCAATAGTGTCTTTATTTTTACTCATGATGGGTTTCTAGATATCAACTGAGCTCTAGCAGAGATTTTCATCATCAAAGATATCATTGATTTATTTGTGCATTCGTGTTTTCTGACAATGTTTACCTGGGCTTCTTTGATTCTGTCTCCAGAGGTTATAATATTTAACAACACCGGAAGCCACTCAGCCACGGCAAACCAACGATTTTGGTGACTGACGAATACATAGTATAAAAGTATAATTTAAACAAAGTGATGATACGAAACAGCTTTCAAAAATGTCCATTACAAAAAAAAAAAATAATAATAATAATAATGTTCATACGAAGGTTATTTTAAACTACACTAAATACTTGGTATTGTTGTTTTGCAGGTCCAATTGAAAAGGTGTTCAATAACAGGCTTATGACGCCCTTGGGTAGATTGTCTTACGCAGTATATCTGGTGAATATCCAGGTAATGATGATAATGGAAAATAGACAATCCGCGTCAATTTCTCCCACTATAGAAGGATGGGTAAGTAATCTGCATTCAGCTTAAAGTTTAAAAAAAACAAATAGTTACAACCACAGAACTTAATACCTGTTACTGAGCTGGTTTTAAATTATATACCAATACCCAGTACTCATGCTATTGAAAAATATAATTAATAGATATTGATGATATTGTTAGCCGTTTGAAGATAGGACATTGGGATTTATAAATACAATAAGTATGTTATATATATTTTAAACGCGAAACCCGAACAAGTTGAATCGATCGACACCATTGTACATAATATTATTGTATTACCTAAAGCTAATGACCTTATTTTACTCAAGGACTTATTTAATCAAATATTTGAATAAGTAGATCCACATTTTAGAAAACGTTGAAGTATAATTGAAACATTTCTCATAGTTAATTATTTACATCATAAATATGTTTTTATCATTTTATTAGCATTATAATTTATTACAATGATATTAGTAAATATACTTTCATCATTGATTTTGCTTCGTATAGTTTAGAATGTTTGAATTAAATCTTTTAGTAAAATAATGTGGCTTTCTAAAGTTGTAAAAGAAGTACCTTAAAATCCATAGTTTGAAATTTCGATCGAATAAAAATTATATTTACTTCAAATTGATACTGAAAATGAATATTTGAACTTGTTTATGAAACGATGTCTTAATTAATTGTATAACCCATTTTGAAGAGTTTGATATGTTCGCAACAATAACACTAATCTACATTAATGTAGGTATAGGCAACAGAATAACATATGTAATTAATGACAGGTGCCTCGCTTGAAGATAAATCAGTATGATTCAGTGCTTTTTTTAAATATTTTTATATACTTGAAACGAGAAAATCAATTTTTGGTAATTGTCCTCCTTGTTTTATGGAATTGAAAATGTGTAATACCTGAGCAGTTATTTTGTGTCTTACCAATTTTTAAGTTATATACTTAAAAGAGTATAAGGTACATTAAAAAATTCTAAAATAATATGCTTTAAAAACTGTCTTAATTCCTTACTCCAAAATATGCAGAATAAAATGTCGTTGGTACACCATGAAACTCATTTTGGACTTTGGTACCCATAATCTAGCTTACTTTTTTTTTTACCAAACACTAAAAATATTCAAAATCATATTATGCTAAATATATATAATTGCCCTACATATAATTACTATGACATACAATATCAACTGCAATAACCATTGTATAATATGTATTCATTAAATCGATCCAACAAACACGATGCCGATTATGGTACATCGTTGTCCGCATATTTTTCATAACAAGAAGGTAATTAGGAATGCAACGCAACGTACACCCGTCAGGCGAGTTCCGCACCTTTTTATTTTTTATGAAACAATGGATATTTGTTAGTAGGTAAGCGGAGACTTTTTTACAAGTACTTTTTTCGACCAGAAAGCTTTTTGTGATTAGAATAAAACTGCAGATTGCCGCGGTGGTAAGATTTAGTATATTATATTATTTTAATCATCTTGCAGCTCGTTGAGTAGGGCCATCGAGGCAAAAATGACTATCATTACATTTTTTTGAACTTCTTTTTTTATTAATTAATTAATGAGCTGTTTTAACATACTTAATGTTTTCACAATGTTGATTTTATTTTTACTTTTAAAAACACAGTATTATTATTGTTCCTACATAGGACAAGTTAAATAAAACGTTGTTGTTGCTTGTAAATAAAAACTCAAGTAACAGAAAGAATGGTTTTTTACGGATATTTACTTCCTTTTTATTACCTCGAAGGAATATAACATATTATTCTAATGAATTACTTAAAGATAAGAAATACAAAATTAATGTAAAATAGTGGCATACTAAGTATTAAGATTTAGGATAATCATCGTCGACGATTTCGTCGGTCGACTTAAAATTCGTATTTCGATTTGGACAGTATTGTCGTAAACTGCAGTTATCTTCAAATTCTCTCAACGTTTATTTACGACCTATCTTAAACACAGCAATACCTATGCAGGTACGGGGATTATGATCGAAATGCTTTTGTACTCAATTATTTACGCTATCAATAATAATTAAATCTGGAGATGACAACAAGTAACTTTAAGAATTTTGTATAACTGTTATAAATACGTTTTCCAAAAATTGTCTGTAAATATATAGTGATAATCTTACTATAATCGTTACCTACATCCATACAGGGCCTGTATGGAGGACTTACTAAGCCTAGTGTAAAAATAATTGCAATGTCTAGTACGAAAATAATTGAGAAGCCTATAAGAAACGGCCACTTGTTAGGCTGCCTAACAAACATTTCTGTAATATTAATCTATATCTAATATTGTGTGTTTTTAAAATACACCTTTTGTTTTTACTCTTCATGTTAATTGATTCAAATGCAATTTCTATCTTTCGGAAAAATCAAATAAGTACTGTATTGTAAAATAAGTCTTTTAATTACCACAAAAAAATGCATATGAGTTGCTGTATGTGAGAGTTATTTATTCCATATTAGTTATAAAGGTATTTTATTTCGAACTAACTCCTTCATTATTCATTTATTATACTTAAAGGCTACAAGATGGTATAATTTTTGAAAATTATTTTACAATTTAATTTTTTCAAACTCGAGGGCTGGCTCTTCTAGTCTACTCTCAAGGGCAGCCCTGGATTTGAATAACTATCCTAAGCAATCATGTATTATTTTCATGTCAACTAATAATATTATTATTGATCGATATTTTGAATATTTGTATGAGAAACTTATTGAAAACGATCGTAAATGGTGGTGTGCTGTAAAAGTCGTAAAGTGTGTAAGTTGCAACTATATCGAAGCGTAAGAACACAACTATACAGTTTTAAAAGAAGATTTATTATTTGAAATAGCACTGAATTCGATTTTATTTCTCGGCCCAGTCAAAAAATACTATATTATGCTTATTATACACTTGAGAATATTATACACTAACACATGTTTTTTATTCTTTTTATTTAGATCGATGGTTGGATCATCGGTACATTTAGAACGTATCTCGCGGGTCTCGCGTTGTACCTCGCCGTCGAAGCGCCATTTAATATAATGATAAAAACCATATTTTTTGGCAGGTGAGTGAGTTAATGCGATACTCGTGTCAAATTACTAACTGTATAAACGTGAAACCGAATTTTCAATAAACGGTATTGATTTATTTCAGTGCTGAAAATAATAAAGACTGTGCCAAACGAAGTGATTCCAAAACTGAAAATATACCGATTGATTCGCGTTTATAATGTGAACAAGAATAAATTACTGTCGTTTTTAAACTATGAATTTTTGTCGCTTCCGTGATCTTAGAGGCACGCCTTATGTAACAGAATTCAATTAAACCTATCTGACAGTTTTGATGCCACACATAAAGACTACTCTTTTAAACTTCAGACAGTGATAATATGTAATACTTCCTGGGTCGGCGACCGGTGTATATTAATATATATAGCAACGGAGCAGTGGTTCCTGCTTGGGCAACAAGCCGGGTTATAATACATTATGTAAATTCCTGGAAATTTGCCATTTGACCTCGAAATTCACAATATTATGTAATCTATTAAATATACTACTATATAGGTACTAAAAAAAATTATTTTTTTGTATAGAGTATGCACAAGTAGTGGTAATAAAATATTTTTTTTTTAGTTGTATGCAATAAATTTAATTAAATTCACATTATTCCCTACGAAATAAATACGTTTTGTACATGTGTACCTAATATTATTAAAACGTTTTTTTTTTGTCATGAAGACCAAGTTTCGTTTTTGACAAGTAAGCCCTTATAGCCATACATAACACATTTATACAAAATAATTAAGGTCAATTACATACTGGTCTTACATAGTTATTGCGCAGATACAATAATATATTATTTAACAACTTTTAAATACAAATATTGACACATTTGTACAACTATATGAATAAAAAACATAAAAAAACTTATGTGATATAGTGGTACCCACCTAATTTTAATAGTAGATAAAGGTAATAATAATAATATAATAATAACAATTGTGTTTACAGTTCGTTTCAGCGTTTGGCTTTAATAATAAAATATAATGTCTTAACTACTGTAGTTAATGTAACATAACTAAACAAATAATTAAATAAATAAATAAAATAAAAGTGAAAATGAACTACAAGTAATTTTATGATTTTAAAGCCTACCCATTATGTATTCACTTTCATCAAGAACGTTTCATAACATTCCACATAATATGAAACCCGAAGTGGGTAGGTACAATCGCCCTTGAAAAATCCTCTGGTTGCACTACTTATACGAGTTCCTATATCTTTGAATGTGTGTCATAATATTACCAACATTAAGAGTATTATATTTTTAAATGATAATCTATGCAGTTTTTTACATACGAAAGTAACTGACGGTTGTTTCTTAGAGTTCGCACATTTTGTTAGAATATTGTATAGTTTTAATAATAAGTATATATATATTATGTACATTCAAGTAATCTATTAATATATATATATTAATGGCAAGTTTAAAAACCATAGCGTTGTAATTTGAGTTTGCAAAGTGTGATGATATATCGCTCATGAAAATAATGTATAGTAAAATATATTATATTGTAATTATAATTTTGTCATTTTGTTATAAAATGTTGCAGAAAATTGTACCTTTAAACTATATTTTAATTTTATGTGATATCATCGCTATAATCTATCAAATCGAATATTTCAAAGCTTTGCGGTTTATACGAGTGGGCACTCGGAGGGGCGTAAAATTAACGTATAGCTTTTGAGTTGTTTTTAAGACATTTAGGATAAACGACGCACGCAGGACATAAGCGCCTAAGAGTCGCGCATAAGTGCCCAGACGGATCTAGGCAAAGCGAATCCTGCGGAAAGATAAGAGGACTGTGAGGTCAAATTGAAGATCAAGAGCGACGATTTAAGGTTCAACATCTCCATCTCGAACAACGCCTTAAAAATACAATGTACACAGACCGCCTGCCAGCATGTGGCTTATCAGAATATTATCTTCTTTCTTTTTTACTCATACGGCAACTCGTTCTACAAAACCCAAGGAAAACACCACGTAGGTGCTATATATACTGCTGTATGGTGTGTATACAGGGTCGGACAAATTGCATCACGTTACAATATACAACTTACAAACATAACGTATGATAAAATAAGCGGAGAGATTAGACGAAGGAATTACATAAAAATAAAACGTTCGGATTTCCGCGTAGTCCATAAGACACAATTGCTTATAAACTATTATTACCGAAACGTAAACCTCTTATCGTAAATCGGATGTCGGCACAAGCATTTTTCAGCCACAGTTTATTACAAGCCGCAATTTAACAACATTTGAGGATAAATTAAAATACTAAAATAAATTTAAATGTATATTGTAAACTATAAAATATAAACACTGTTTCAATGCGATTTACAAAAGTACATATATGTTGCCCCATATAATATCTAGGTACTATTGCATAAATAGAGCTACAAATAACTCTTAAATAGTTTTTGAAAATGATGAAACAAATTTTGTAATTATTTATTTTTTTTAAGCGATAGACCATTAATTGTTAATTAAACACACAACTCTTACCAACAATATAGTTGGTACACTATTGTTATCATAATAATGTTAATAATTATCATCGTTTTTGTTATTATTCCTAAATAGTAAATACGCAATATTACGAATTTTTAATACTATTATTATGTACGCCTAATTTTTTAACGTGATTACGGCCTACGCCCATCTCGTGGGTATTTTTGTATCTTACTAGAGCACAAAAAAAAGTTTTAATTTAAAAAAATTGAAAAATTTTAGTGTTGAAAATGTCAATGAAAAAGAAATTGTCATCAAGGACAATTGTCATTGTAAATATTCAACTTTATAAGAAAAATCGATTGAAATATACTCACTCGGATTGTTTAATGATCGGCCCAGAATGATTTAGAGCAAAAACACCTGTTGCAAAAACATCATTTAACTTTTATAAAATGCATTTTTTCCGTCGATGCTTCTGAACCTTTCTCAATTTTATTGTGGATACAGTATATAAGAATTTTTAAAATTCTTTATACATTTCTATAATGTTGCCTGTACTGACCTCTGATAATATTTTATTTGTGTTCTCGTCGGCATTCGATATTTTTGTTTAACATTTTTTTTTGTTATTTAAAATATACTGCAGTTTCCATTTCCATTACAGCATAATAATATTATATTCTTATAAGTAGATTTATTATTTTTTTTTTGCTCTTTAAAATACACTTAGCTACTCACGAATGTCAGTGTCTCTTCCCCTGTTTTTTTATTTATGTTTACAGTTTTTTTTAAATTTTGTATGCAATCATACATTTTTTTATACTTTTTCTAACAATCCGTAAGTGAAATTTTATAATATTTTAACTATCATTAATTAATGCAATATTATAATAGGTATCAATCTGATAGGACGTCACACCCGCAGTGTTGTCTACATCTTACAAAGGCTAACATGTAGACAATTTACTATCACAATTTACTAGGTCACATTTAATTCCGTTAGTTTAAAGAGTAGTGTGAATTTACCTACTATAAAACTTGATAGTAAGAACATTATCTGTGTTCCTATGTTGGTTTTTTACCCTTATTGTTACCTTCGTTACATTTCTAAGTGAGTTATGAGCATTTTTAATTTACACTATAGTAGATACTCATAACTTGCGCAAAAAAATTAACAAAGTTAAACTTGATCTGCTGAGAGTAAATGTGTTATGGTACGCACTTGCAAAACGGAGACAATACGTGCGGGTTAGTCTTAATGAGTTTAGAAATCAAAATAGTTTACAATCTCCAAATTCCATTATTGTAAGCTATACTTTTGTAGGTAGTTAATAATCATTTTTCTTAAAAAATGCATTTTCCTATACATGAAACTATGAAAGTCATTTCTGGACGGTTGTAGATGCGGATAGTTTATCTCATTATTCAGGACTTCCTATGTAATCATAATGCAACAGTTAACAGTGAGTCTTAAACACAATAAACTAAATATACAGTGATATGCATATTGATATACAAAGAAACTTTCGTTTAACACAATTTTCTGTTAAACGAAATATTTTTCAGAGCCAGACCAAATTAGAACCAAATTAATTTAATTCTATTTAAAGAAATTCTCTATGAAATACTATTTTTCCATGTTATTGTAATATGGAAGTTTCTTCGTAGTATATTTTGTACTCATAAAATGGCTTATCTGTATTATTGAATTAATAATGATTACTATATTAATAATCTAAACTATAATTTACTATAATATACAATAGGTACTGATCATTATCTAAATTTTAAATTTAAATTTAAATCATATTAACAAGTTGTGCATAAATACAACAAAATATACCCAATACACCTTGAGTGCCCATTAGCCGTTAGGTATCTAACTCTATATTTTAGCTGTTAGTCAATTGTCTCACGAGTCACGAGTTACATACCGTTTTTGAACTGTCACCAGAGCAAGGATCCCCCAAAAATGTTTGATTATAAATTATATACTAAAATAATTTAATATTTATTAGGATTATTATTATTATACAAAAATTATAATTATCCCGGTTTACCATTTTATACATAATGTCTTATAGCTAAATAAATAATGTCTTATAAATCAACTAGACAATTGTGTTTATTAACTTTTAGTAACTAGGTATAGTGAACAGTAAAAATAATTTTTTTTTCACTGAATTTAAGATTTAACATAATAATAGGTAACATTATGATTTCGTAATTCGTATGTTAAATATCTAGAATATCTGGAATATAACGTTTAGATTATGAATTTTTATAATTGAACAACCTATTTTACTATATGTAAATGAAATGTAATTATTGTAAATCTCCACCACAATCCGTTGATAAAAATCGGCCTTCCAGTGAAAAAAGCTACCTAATGGTCATAATTTTTGGTATCATTATAATAAAGCATTGGAAGTTACTCCTTGCTCACCTTACTCCTTCTCTACATCATCCATTTCAGACTTAAGGTTAAGTTAGGAGGTTTTGTGACTACTAAATTCCAAGAAACATTGTAAAGACTACTTCATATTATTATATGTTTTCAGCGTCAGCAATGTCATCGCGCTAGGCAATGATCTTTGATGTAAGTATTTACTAGTATTATATAGAAAACGTACCGAGAATTATTTTACGCACCCGCTTGCGAACCGAATGATGTTCATCGATTCTGCAAAAATATATTTTGTTTTTCATTCAAACCGGTGGTTCTAATAAAATTGCATTAGTATATTATCAAAATGTTGTTTAGGTACTCCAATTTTCATTCTGCAAAAAAAAATATCCGAATTCTCCATTAAAAAGGATGACATACATGAGAACGGTCGAATCTCGTTTTTAAAATTATATTTAGTTGATTAATGAATTTAGCTTAACATCTGATATTTTGTCAGCAACATATTTCTGATTGACCATTACTGATCCTGTTATTTAGAGTTCAAATACCTACGTTTACATAAAAAAATCGGGATAGGATTTGAGAAGTCGAAGGTGAAGTTTTTGGATAAACATATGATATTTACTGTTTTTCCTTATTTAAAATACAAGTTACATTTTATTGACCATTCTTCTGAT